AATTTGTTAGTCTCTAAGGTGCCACAAGTACTCCTGTTCTTTTTTGCGGATACAGACTAACACGGCTGCTACTCTAAAATAAGAACAACAACATTTCATTACCCCCCCCACCACACACACCCCACCCTGCATTCAAGTGATTTGTAACCCAACCCCAGCCAAAATCTATCACTTTGGCAACACAGCTCTGTTTGCTGGATATCTAGGTAGATTAGGTGTGAATGTAAATACAATCTGGTCCTGAAGCCTTTCCCCCTACATCATCATTAGGTGTCAGGGAGAGTTCATTTAGACTTTGCTTACAAATCATCATTTGAAATTCTTAGGTTGGCCAACATAACCAAAATGAATGCAGTGACATTGTCATAAAAAACAGCAGCTGTATAAGGAAGCTAGTCTATGTTCATACTTTTCAAATCTATTATACTTTCAGATACACATTTTATCATACACTGTATATGCTTTTAAAGTGTGTATTAATGTTTCAATTTCAATTCAAATTTTCAAACAGTCACTAAATTGGCATGTTTCAGAGTAGCAGACGTGTTAGTCTGTATCCGCAAAAAGAACAGGAGTACTTGTGGCACCTTAGAAACTAACAAATGTATTTGAGCATAAGCTTTCGTGGGCCCACTTCATCGGATGCATAGAATGGAACATATAGTGAGGAGATATATATACCTACAGAAAACATGAAAAGGTGGGAGTTGCCCAACCAACTCTAAGAGGCTAATTAATTAAGATGCGTTATTGTCAGCAGGAGAAAAAAAACGTTTGTAGTGATAATCAAGATGGCCCATTTAAGACAGTTTGACAAGAAGGTGTGAGGATACTTAACATAGGGAAATAGATTCAATGTGTGTAATGGCTCAACCATTCCCAGTCTCTATTGAAGTCTAAGCTGATTGTATCTAGTTTGCATATTAATTCAAGTTCAGCAGTTTCTAGTTGGAGTCTGTTTTTGAAGCTTTTCTGTTGCAAAATTGCCACCTTTAAATCTGTTACTGAATGGCGAGAGAGGTTGAAGTGTTCTCCTAGTGGTTTTTGAATGTTATGATTCCTGATGTCAGATTGGTGTCCATTTATTCTTTTGTGTAGAGACTGTCCGGTTTGGCCAATGTACATAGCAGAGGGGCATTGCTGGCACATGATAGCATATATCACGTTGGTAGATGTGCAGGTGAATGAGCCCCGGATGGCATGGATGATGTGA